GCCCCAACATGGGGGTACGCCCCCCCCAGGGTCCCCCTGAAGCACAGAGGACACCCCTGCCACCCCCAGAGCCCAACCTGTGCTGGGGGTCTGCACCCTCTCCCCACCTCGCCCCCTTTCCAGGGAGCTCAGCCATGGGTCAGGGCTCCGTGTGTGTGTCCCCCCCCGGGGAGCCCCGGGGCCCCCCTGGTGCTCACCATGACCAGCCCCTTGGTGATCTGCTCGGAGCAGCCGTGGCAGAGCTCCCCAAAGCGCGCCCAGTAATCCTTCTTGCAGTACAGGCGCCCATCCTTCTCGTAGTACTGGTGGGACAGGGAGGCCCCACACTCGCAGCACCTGCGGCAGGGGACGGGGACCCCCTTGTCATGAGGTCCCCATCGTCACCTTGTCCCCATCGTCACCGTGTCCCCATCGTCACCCCAGGGGGCAGCCAGCGCCCATCCACCCCACGGCTCTCTGGGCAAGCTGCTTCCCCTGTTTCCTACCCTGCTGCAGGGCCACCGCATCCGTGTGTCACCATCCCCAGGGTGGCAGCAGGTGGTTCCGGGAGTGCCAGCGCAGGCTGGTGGTGCGGGGACACCGGGGTGGAAAGGGCAGGGGACACAGGGCAGGGACAGGCATGGGGAGGGGGGTACCAGCCCTGCATGGGCGTGCCAGCCTGGTCATGCACACACGGAGGGACATGCCACCCTGGTCACAGACGTCCCAGCCTGGCACAGACACATAGAGGAATGTGCCAGCTTGGTCACAGATGTGCCACCCTGGTCACGGACTTGCCAGCCTGGTCAGGGACACACAGAGGGACGTCCCAGCCTGCTCATGGACATGCCACCCTGGTCACGGACATGCCAGCCCAGTCACGGACATGCAGAGGGATGTGCCACCCTGGTCACAGACACAGGGACATGCCACCCTGGTCACGGATGTGCCAGCCTGGTCACAGACACACAGAGGGACATGCCACCCAGGTCACGGACACATGGAGGGACGTGCCAGCCTTGGGGGTGCAACGCCCTGGGTGCTGCAAACAGGGTGCGGGGGGGACGCACCTGCGGTGCGGGGTGCAGGGGGTGGGGGAAGCTGCTCTGGGACGGCAAGATTGGGGGGTGCAGGGAAGGTGGGGTGCAGGG